GTATTGATAAATAATTTTGCGGAAATGAAGGTTAGGAGACGCAAATTTTAATAAAAAAGATTTTTGTCTTTATGATGAATTTCGGTCACCAGTGTTATAATTACACTTATTGAGGGGGGGGGAATTAGAGAAGAACACAGCAGTACGGGCTGAGGGAAAATTAAAAAGAAACAGGAAAAATCTTTAGCATTCATGTTTTTTTATAAAAATGATGTATTCAAGTAGTTTAGTGTACCAAAAGGATTTTTAAAAGGACAGCAAAAATATTACATATTTTCTACTAAAATTGTATATTCAAATAGTTTTCTTTATGAAGTTTATGATAAATATGTTTTATATTTAAACAAATGTACTTGTATATTATTGCATAAATTATGTTCGTAAGTTGAGTAAAATCACAGAGTACTATCTATTGATGTAATATTTTTTCTGTACGTTTATCAATTATCTTGTCTGTCAATATCAATTATCTATCACTCACACGCACGCACACAAAAAGTCTTAAATTACAGAATTAAAATCATCTGACGTCAAATACCCAGACTAAAGCAAATTTGCATTTCACCAGTTAGCAAAGGGGAAATATTTTCCTTTTTATTCTTTCTTCATATTACATAACTTTCAAATGGTTCCCTGAGAACGTGCTTTTATTTTTTAACAATTAATCCAGATGTGATAAAAATCATGAAAACATTGGCTCCAGGAATCCTTGATTTTTTTTTTTTTTTTTTTACTTTTCACGTTTTTTTCTTTAGTTTAATTTTTATTTTTAAGCACATTAAATTTATTGGTTTAGGGACCCAGGAAATTATTTTGCATACGGGACCAAGAATTCTAGTTACACCACTGTCTATAATGTATATATGCGTAGCTAGTATATGTGTAATGAGATGAACTACCAGTGCTCACACACTTTACTTTACCACTTTACCGCCAGGCCGCTGCTGAACCCTTCATTAATTAATGACATAATCACACAAAGCCACGCATTTACACACAACTCGTGAACATAACAAGCAACCAGCGCATTAGCGGGATTCGAACTTCGGACAGAACTACCAGTGCTCACACACTTTACCGCCAGGCCGCTGCTGAAATCTTCATTAATTAATTACATAATCACACAAAGCCACGCATTTACACACAACTCGTGAACATAACAAGCAACCGGCGCATTAGCGGGATTCGAACTTCGGACAGAACTACCAGTGCTCACACACTTTACCGCCAGGCCGCTGCTGAAATCTTCATTAATTAATTACATAATCACACAAAGCCACGCATTTACACACAACTCGTGAACATAACAACCAACCCAATTATTCTACACTTATATAATAATTCTATAATTATTCACATTATTTAAGTGATATGATTCATTAGTGTAATTGTACTGGCTCGTATACACACGAGGAAAACCACGAAATTTCCAATGCAGCCAGGGCAATATGAAAGACAAAAAAATGTAACAAATAACCAACAATTAAAGGTTACCAATAATAGTGTACAACAGAGATGTATACCTCTCGCCAACTGAAAACAATTGTTAAATTCAATGGAAATGAATTTTCAAAATCAACAGACATGCGGTCTTTAAATTTTGTACATCCGAACTGTCTTCTCTCTTAAGCAGCAATATGACAAAACATTTAAAAGAAGAGCATATCTTTAGAATTTCCGATAGACAGTCTTGCGCCGAACAGTGTTGCCATTGCTCGCTTAGAAATCGTCGAGTTTCTTAATCAAAAACACATAAATGCTTTACAAAATGTTAAATAGTTAATAAAACAAATTACAAATTTGAGCTTTCAGATGCCCATATTCGGGTGGTGACGTACATATTCAAAATTTCATATAGCTGTAGGTACCGTTGTTTTATCACAGTATCTGCATAAATGTTATGTACGTTAAACATACGTATATTTATGCTGATTCTTTATTATTAAATATCTTTAAATATAACACACAGCGATAATATTCGGTAGAAACAGTTCAACGCAAAATGCGAAAACGAAATTAATAGCCCTTCTGGGCTAACGCGCTTTGGGATAAAAACGCAAAAATAGAACATAACAGCTTTCATTGTCAGTGCTTAAAAAAAAAAAAAAAAAAAAAAAAAAAAATCGATAGGCCTTATTTAATTTAATAAAATCGAAAAGTTGAGCAAGTTGCATATTTTTGAGAGGATAAATATGCCACGAAACCTTCAAAATCATTTTTTAGTTCATCACGCACGCATATCTGCACACAAAAAAATAACAATACCTATTATTCTTCTGCATCTCTGTTTAAAAATGTTTTAAAAAAACATATGTACCGAAAAAACATTTATTTGTAAAGTAAAATATTTTTTTTTTTTCGAAAATATTTTAAATAAATTTAAAAAAGAAGATTTTTCGCGATCATATTTTGCCGCGGTTAAGCCCGTGCAGCTGTCTGTCTGTCTGTCAGGTACTGAAAAAAATCAGTACCTCGGTACTTACGTGAAAACGTGGTTTGGACTTTGCCAAAGCTAAGTTTACTTTTAATCTATTTTCATCCATTACATTTTTTAATATTATTTTTCACTTGAAATTTGTTTTAATACTTTGTTTTCATAGATACATATCATTACTATTATTTTTATTTTCCTTTTTTTTTTTTTTTTTTTTTTTTTTTTTGTAACAGTACTTTCTAGTTTGAACTTTTCACTTCTCTATCTTCCTATAATGAACTAATATTGTTTAATTAAACTTATAATTACTTTTCATCTTTATTAAACTTTTTTATTTCTGATAGTTTTGACTTTTGCATAATTGCCAAGTTTCTGAAATTTCTAACAATAAATTTCATTAAACTATTTCTGTCACTGTACTGACTTTTTTGAATATGGCTTCTTTGCATGAAAAACTGAAATATTTCTGTTTAATTACTGACATGCATTTAATTAATACAGAGGCAGCTGCACTCGAGTTTGCCACCGATGCTGGACTTCTTCCCAGAGAGGATGAGGCACCACCTTGCCCCAAGTGCCAGGCACCGATGAGAAGCAACAAGAGAAAGGAATCAAAGCTGGGATGGCGTTGGGTCTGCAGCCTGAGAAATCGCAACAACTGCTCTGGCATGATTAACCCCATTGAAAACACCTTTTTTGAAGGTACAAAAATCCCAATAAGGGAAGCTTTAGTCATAACTGTGTACTTTGTTCTAGATCACAGTTTTAGCTACATAAATCAGCAGCTAAAGCTATGGAGGGAAAAGCAAAAATTACCAGTAATTGCAAATGAGACTATTGTTGACTTTTTATCATATTGTCGTGAGGTATGCGAAATGAAAATCTATATTAATTGATGAAACATTTTTGACCCGCCGCAAGTACAACCGCGGCAGGGTAACCAAAAATATGACCATCGTAGTTTTAGGCATCTACTGTCGAGAAGACAAAGAAGGATTATTTTTCAAGGTTAAAGGAAAAAGCAAAAGGCATTTGTGGCCTTACATTAAACGTCATGTTCACCCAGAAACCACCTTCATATACACTGACTCTGCTCCACAATATAAAAGGATAGAAAATTTATTTCCGGCAGCAACACATAAAACTACCAATCACAAGAAAGGTAAATATGTGTCTTTTTTTTTTTAATGAGTGACATTTTGTTTTTCATCCTTAACATTCATTAATCCTTTATTTACAGGCGTATTCGTAGATCCCGATGATAAACAGAACACTATAAATGATCTTGAGGGTGAAAACAAACTTTTTAAGAGGTCTATAAAGAGCAAGAGAACAGATGATATTTGCACGCAGTACATGGCTGTACATTATTACAGGCGGTTCCGCTTGAAGCCCTTTACTTATGATGGAGAAAGACTTGCTCAGTTTCTACAGGACATTAAAGCTGTGTATCCAGGCCATGGAAAAGTCGGCCTTGAACTTAAAATGTTGGACGAACCAACATCAGAAAGCGAAGGAATTGAGGACCTGATGCCTCCAAAGAAATCAGCCCGACAAGATGATGATATACCATTCATTCAGGAAGATGATGATAAATGGGGTAAAACCAACAAATATAACTTTATTTTTGACATAATTTATTTATTTACATATATATACATACAAAAATTGCATTTAAATATTAAATTACATACCATTATAATCTATGTGCTTATTTTTCAGAGTAAGGGAACACAGACCAAGTTTTAAAACTGGAATAAATGATAAGAAAAGCATACAAGTAAATTGTTTACTATAATTTGTGTAAATGTTCAGATGGTCCACAAATTTTGATTTAATACCTTTTTGTTTTTCACTACTACATGAAATTGTTATTTTTTATTTCCTTTTAGAATTCAACCAAAAAACAGAGCCCAGAAAACAAAAGGATGGAAATGTTGCGAAAATGTTGCATATCTTTTACAGAAAGAGGTAAATGTGTATTTCAGTTATTCTCAACTTTTATTTTGACGTGAGAGCTATTCTTTATATATTTTGTTATTCCTTCATTAAAATAAACTTTCTTTCACAGCAGCTGCAGATCCAAAATGTCATGAAATACTATGACAGAGGTAAGACAAAATTTTAACCATTCACAGCTTATGTTTCAAATTAGTGCTTCACTTTATTTTAATACTACTTCTTCAGTAAAAGCAACTGTAAAATTTATTTAGTTATTATTAGTATAAGTTTACCTACTTATTTTTCAGTAAAAAAAACTTTATTGCAAATTAGGTAATCCAAAAAAAATAAATAAAAGAAAGAAGAAAATTAATTTTGACAGATAAATTGACAAACATAGAGGTGAGTTGATTAATTTAAAGGTTTCCAGCCTACTTCTTACCAGAAAACATTTTATTGTTAAGGATAATTTATCACCCCTTTCAGGTAAAGAATATTGCAGAAATGAGAAATGAATCATGGAAAGAAATGAATCTTCAGTCAGAAAATATACAGGTGAATTCATTACTTTTAATGTTTCCAGCCTGTTTATTTTAATTATGTATTTTCATACTACGTTTATTATTTTAATTTTACCGTTTATTTATTATTTTAAATATAAGGATTCAATCTTACATTATTAACTTCTTAAACTTGCCACCCTTTTGTGGTAATTGTGTATTTTTGTATTTTTGTACTATGTTCAATTATTATTTTCTAGTTAAAAAGAGTATGTAGTTAACAAAAGATTAAAACTAAACAACAGAAAGAACACTTTTAGAAAAAATATTAAAACATTTAATAAAAGTGTTTATATATACGCTAACTTATGTTTTCATTATCGTAACCTTGTTTAGTTATCTTGTATTATGAATATGCATAATATGGATATTTTGTTTAGGGACTTCAAAAATAACATTTTGCTGCCACTTAGACGAGGGAAGAAGCAGATGGAGAAATCAACTCGGATGACAAACCCAGTGCCTGGGGGTATAGCCAGGTTTTTCTTTCAAGAAACACATCCGAGTTGAAACGACTGATGCGGGCCACACCTGAAAGCGAAGGAACTGAGCGACTGCTGCCTGCTGCCACCGCAGGAAATCTCGACGATCATGAAATTTAAAATCTTGTTTACTTATCTTGTATTTTGAATATGCATAATATGGATATTTTGTTTAGGGACTTCAAAAATAACATTTTGCTGCCACTTAGACGAGGGAAGAAGCAGATGGAGAAATCAACTCGGATGACAAACCCAGTGCCTGGGGGTATAGCCAGGTTTTTCTTTCAAGAAACACATCCGAGTTGAAACGACTGATGCGGGCCACACCTGAAAGCGAAGGAACTGAGCAACTGCTGCCACCACAGGAAATCTCGACGATCATGAAATTTAAAATCTTGTTTATTTATCTTGTATTCTGAACATATATAACATGGATATTTTCTCTACAAAAAACTCCAAATAGTGAACTGCCAAGTAATACTGCTGAAAAACTGCAAAATGTGGTGCTGAATGGTAAGTAATATAAAATATATGTGTACACATTAAAATTAGAGGATTATGGCTCCTGGCGAAACCTCGTAAAAAAAAAAACGCATCAGGATTCCTACCTCCTAGTCTTACACGTACTAGCTTAAAAATTGGGATTATTTGTAACTATTTTGTTTCACTAATATCATTAATCACATTTCTTACTGTTTCTATTTTTTTATCAAATTTAGATTTAATTAAAAATCACTTTAACCTGCATGTAACGTCATGTAATGTGAAAATAGTGCCTATTTTTTTAAATGAAATTATATGATAATACCCGCATAAATATTTTTTATAAATAATTGATTTAAATATAATTATAAAAACTCTAATTTACAAAATTTGGTAATGCTTCAATTAAAATGAATAGTCAAAAAGCAGAAGAAAAGATTTTTTCTTTTTTTAAGTACGTGTAAGTCTTAAGGTGATGTGGAAATGGAATCATTTCTAATTTCAAAATGCAAAATGCTTGTAAAAATTGTTCTTTTTCAGATCTGATGAACAGGCCTCGATCTATAAGAGTGGAGTTCAGTGAAACGAAGTATTGGATTTTAACAAGGAATGAATCTATAACAGTTTTTCTTGTGAAAAAATGAAATTTTATAAGTTATCAGCAGAGTCATAGTTACTGTTTTCAGCGCCCAGGGAAAACTGAAGATTTTGTGCCCCTCCCGACTACTGGCCAAAAATGGAAAACATTCAACTCTAAAAATTCGTAACATCATTTTGGCTTCCCTTGGATGATGTGCCCACGGACATATGCCCCCTTTCTAGCCCTGGTTATCATATACACAGTTTCTTGTGAACTTGTTGACTGTGAGAACCTGGATAAAAATATTCTTGTGAAAAGGTGAAACTGTGAGAACCTGGATAAAAATTTTCTTGTGAAAAAGTGAAATTTTTATATAAATATAAATAACATAATTTAAGAAGACAAAGATTGTACAAGCAATGTCATCTAGGGGTAAGTACCTTCATTTTGCAATATATGTTTACATTGATAAATTAAAAAATATGAAATTCTAGCATATTGAAACATAAGTTAAGAAATATATGTTTAAATTGATTAATTAAAAGAGTTGAAATTCTTGCATATTGAAAAATAAGTTAAGAAATGTATGTTTAAATTGATTAATTAAAAAAAAGTTGAAATTCTAACACAGGGAAAAATAGAAAATATATGTTCAAATTGATTAATTAATAAAAAAAAAAATGAGTGCTATATACTACTGAAAAATAAGTTTCTTAAAAAGAACTTACCATATATTACAAATACCTTAATAAATGTTCTAATTTTTCATTTCTCATCCATATATATCATGTTTAACTATATATGTATATCATGTATATATATCATACACTTACCTGCATAACATAATTAATTTAAATATAAATTCATTATTAATTTAAATGCCAAATAATATAATGCCGAAATTACATGCAAGTCAAATTTTTAGGTTGGAAGCTTTCTTTTAAATCGATTGTTTACAGTTTGAGCGTAAGTACTTCTTCGCCCTATAGCGTTTCATGCAAAACATTTCACTCGTTAAAGTACACGTTAATTAAAATTTCTTGTTCTATTACTTTAGACTGAATTACAATTAGTAAGTTATCATATCATGCTTAGTAATATAACATTAACTATGTTGTACAACATTGAAGAAATAGGGAATGTCAGGCGTCATCATGTCAACATGAACAAGGGTAAGTTCAATTTTTCCTTTTGGCAGTTCAGAATTGTTTTCCCTGTCCACTTCCCTCGGATAGGGAAAACAATATTTGGCCGCCATCTTGGATTTCGAAATGCGCTTTTTGGCGCATTTCTGAAATCCAAGATGGCGGCCCAAAACTCGCCAAATTCAGCCAAGAGCCGGGTATCCGAAATGAGCCAGATAATCCCCTCAAATCTGGGTAAACATTTATACCCATCTTTTAAATAAGTGACTTTAAAGAAAAGTTACAATAAAGATGACAGTTTATATAAAATAATAAATTTTTTTCTAGTTCTGACCTTTTGTTTTGTATAACTTTTCCGACTCCCATTTGCCATTCTGTGTATTTTCTTAGGAAGAAGGGCGCATTATTTTTAGTAGCCCATGGGCGCCGAATTCCTTAAGACGGCCCTGGTTCTGTTATTAGGACCGGGTTCAGAATTGTATTTATGTATGCTTGTATATTTGTATGTTTGTGTGTCTACATATACACATCTCTGCACATACTTACGAACACAGGTTCACACATTTCCGATTCTTGTCCCAATAACAGAACAGTACCCCCAAAAATACTTGAATTACAAACTAGATTAAGATAATGTTTCAACCATACATATTTTGGACAAAACAATGCAAACTCTTATTTTTATACAATTGTTCAAACTATTTAACATAAATTTATTGCTGCAATAAAATAATAAGCAATCTGATCACACATATTATTTTGAAACTGAATGCCATAAACTAGACTAAAAGTAATACTGTCATAAACATTTGGACAGCAGGGCAAATTCAGATATTTGAAAAGACAGCCAGCCAGCCAGCCATTGAGATACACGTAATTCACGACAGAATGGTAACAATTCATAAAGCTTGAAACATTTAACTGTCAAAAAGACATAAATAACATAAATTCGAAAAGCAAAAAACGTAAACATAAAAGTATTGCAACTTGAACTTACCTTTCATGCAACAAAAAATGTCCATACAAGTAAACCTCATGGCGCAGCCATTTTGGATTTCGTTTCAAATCACACAGACGTTTACGGATTTGCAGAAGAATACGAGGAACTAGTAGTTTGCCGAATACAATGTGCAATGACGCGAAAGAATATAGTTCTGTAGAACTTCCTACATTATTCTGTAATAAACAGTACTATTTCCTAATTTTTTCTTTATCTAATTAATTAATTAATAGGGAAATAGTTAAATAATGTCGAATTCATTTTTAATGAAAGTAAAATTTTGCATGTATGGGACGACCACCTTCCGTCCAATATTTCTGAGAATATAAACAAATTTTGGAATCTGAGAGTATCAGTAAAAAATATATAGAATATCGCCTCTCAAAACGACCACTTCTGAAAGTGACCAATAGTTCTGAGATTATAAATAAATATTGATATTAAGCATTATTTCTATAAGACGACAATCTCTATATAAGACCAAAGTTTCTAGAATCTTGGATAGACATCAGAGATGTATCTTTACTGCGAAATTATCGCACGACTGTAATTCAATATCAATAACAGATCGCACGATTGAAAAACATTTTCTGTCCTGTAATTAGAGGGAAAAAATTTTCCTTATGAGGTATTTCTCCCGCTTTCCTAGCGTGCATTCGTGATGTAATAGTTCTGCACGCTGGGCCGATATTTCAGAGGTCCGTGGTTTGATTCACGGCGAAGGCGGTTGCTAATTTTTCATCTCTACGGCTTCCCAAAAAAATCCTAATGTCTCTACAGTGGCGCCCGAACTAAAAAGATGTTGGATGAGGTATATCCACACCCAGGATTTAGTGATTGGATCCCCTTAAAAAAAAGTCGGCCTTTAAAAAGAGAAGTAATATAAGGTATTTCTCCCGCTTTCCTAGTGTGTCTTCGGCCCACCAGCGGCCGAGCGGTAAAGTCGCTGAACCCTGATAGTGCGATCCGAGGTTCGAATCCCGCGAACGGGCTGGCTGCATGGGTGTTTTCGTGGTTTTCCCCACGTGTAACGTGTATACGAGCCAGTTTCCCCTTAGAAAGTCCTCCACGAAGGCATCCCTCCCCTTAGGCAGATAGCCCTAGTGTGCTTTGCCATAATTAAATACACCACCACCACACCTAGCGTGTCTTCGTGGTGTAGTGGTTCTGCACACTGGGCCGGTATTCCAGAGGTCCGTCCTTCGATTCCCGGCGAAGGCAGTTGCTAATTTTCATGTTTCCTGCTTCCAAAAAATACCTAATGTCTCTATACCCAAATTTAAAAAAAAAAAATTACTTTCCGTAATTAAATATATCTATATCTAATTTTACCTATATTTGTAGTAGGGTTTGTAATCTGTAAGTAATTATACATGTAATTTATACATTTTTTATAAAAAAAATATATGTTATTTAGAATTTTGCAAATATTCTAGAAAATGCTAATCCATTGAAAAAAATCTTTTCCATGACTAAATAAATTTTTTAAAAACGTCAGAAACGTCAAAAATAGCAGTTAAAATTAATAACAAAATAACAAGAATAAATCATCAATCATATCAATATTTTTAATGTACAGCATTTAGAAACAACTTAGTAAAATACATATGAAAAATAAAATAATGCGCAAGTTTCAGATGTGCAATGTCAAAAAATTAAAACTGGTAAATTTGAGAACAAATATCCTCAAAATGTTTGACAACGAAAGTCCTCCGGACAATGCAGAATAAATGTCCGCAGGATGTGAAATTGGTGAACTCCTCAGGACATCTGAGAATCAACATCTTCAGGACATCCTGTCATATCCCGGGACATAGCGACTTAAATAAGACATCCTCAGGATCTTAAATTGCGATCTCCTCAGGA